AAAAAAAAAAAAAATTAACTTGGAGACATCAAAGATAGCACTTGTTTAAAAAGAAAAGGAGATGGAGCCAAAAAATCATGTGCATGTGCTCTTTACATAAAATAAGACAGGAGATAAACTATTATTCAAATAAACTGATGTGTCTTCACAACTAAATATTTCAAAATTTAAAGAAACTGGGAAAAAGAAAAGCTGCCTTTATTATGTATTTTTCAGTTTCATTCAAAAGTGGTGGTGACCCAGAAATTGTGTGGAAGACAGAGCAATTAGAATTATGAAAATACTTTGATAATTTTTTAGACCTAGGAATACTGACTCATGGATCATGTTGAGTCAGTTGAGTTTCATGTCTAAATAAAATAATGTTGTAGATTTACATCAATAGTGTGATAATGTGCCCATGCACACACAGATGTAAAGTAACAGGGTACCTAGAAATGTATAAAGAAATATAAAAAGTTCCTCTGAAACTAATAATACCTTATATATTAATTGAATTTAAATAAAAAATAAAATAGCTATTATTAATATGTTAAATAAAAAATGTATGCAAGTGTATCTAGAGGGATTAATTTTGGGAAGTGGAAGGGGGGACAAAAGTTAGAGGGAAACTTCTCTGTGATATTGTTTCTTTATTTTTATTTTTTTTAAGACTTTATTTATTTATTTGACAGAGAAAGGCACAGCGAGAGAGGGAACACAAGCAGGGGGAGCGGGAGAGGGAGAAGCAGGCTTCCCACTGAGCAGAGAGCCCGATGCGGGGTTCGATCCCAGGACCCTGGGATCATGACCTGAGCCGAAGGCAGACGCTTAACGACTGAGCCACCCAGGTGCCCTTTTATTGTTTTGTTTTGTTTTTTTTTAAGAGAATGTATTTAACTTGTGTAATTTACCACTAATTAGAAATACAAAAATAAAATGAACTATGACCTAAAGTAAAACAACAGAACCCTGTTATATAGTTGCAACAGTCAATATTTTGTGATAAAGCAGATGCAATGTATGTTTCTTACAAACAGCAGCAGGGAATGCTATAGTCTATTTATCTGTATTGCAATCCTGTGTGTGTGCGTGTGGCCAAACACGTAATAAAATATCTAAGAAGTAAAAAAAAAGAATTATTATAATAGAAAAAAATGACTGAGTATGTTTCTCTTCATTTGCTATTGTTTTTTTTTAATTAGAAAATAAAAAAGTATCAATGTCTTTCTGCTTTAAAGTCAATTAACACGTTAACAGAGGAACACTAACTCTTGAGACATATTTGGGAACGAATAAGGAGACTGGTCACATTTAAATGCCCTTGACTGAAATTTTTTAACTTAGAGAGGTTTTGTTACAGAATGTGCATTGGCCTGAGTCTCTTTCATCGTTCTGGCCCCTAAATTCCCAACACAGCTAATGATGAAAGTCCCCACAATTACACCACGGGATGGAACTCAACAGAGGGTGCTCGCCTGCGGCCAGACACCAAGTCATAAGAAAACCGTGAAAGATGATGAAGAAGGTTATTTTAATTTCCTTTTCAGCCCTGCTCAGGAGTGGCTCTTTAGTTCACGGAGCTGTGGGTACTCGCTTTCAAACTAACAAGCAATATTATAAATGGAGGCTGCATTATCATGATTGCAAACAATATAAGGCACTTGACAGCCGAGGATTCTAGGTTCTCAATATGTGCTGTGTTGTATTTATCAGCTAAAATACATACACGGTGCAAACAACAAAAGGGGCGCGAGGGGAGGGCAATGAACGGGCTGGGAGGGGGCAGGTAGAACAGTAAGAGAACACCAGATAAAGACAAAAAAGCACAAGAGAGAGAAGAGGAGAGCCCTGGGCATTTCATTGGTATGGAAAAGAGTTTTACCCATTTTCTTGCTGTTCCACTGAATAGTGTTCCAGCTCTGTACCAGGAAGGGGCTGGACTGGGGGAGGAGGTAGAGGAACATTGGCCCAGGTCGATCCATTGTTTTTCTGTGGTTTAGAAGAGTTTTTATTTTTCTTCTTTTTTCCACCTTTCCCACCTGAAAGTAATAATGCATTTATTCAAATACACCAAACATCAGTAGAAACAGAGTACATCAGATGGGAAGATGTATTTATGTTTTCAAAACACCACAATCAGTATATTACATTTGTTAAAAGCTATAAACAATGAGATGGTATAATCAGAAAAACGTTTTTATAAATCGCTCAAAATTATATATATATTTTTTCCCAATGCATTAACTACAGTGCTGAATAAACCAAAAACATGGCTTCTGCAGCAAAAGCACACTTATTGATTTATTCACGTCTGCTGCCTCTACATTTTCATTGTTAGATGAAATAATGGGCCATAACGAATTCTTTCAAATGTCAGATTTTAGTGCGTTTATAATGCTCTTTTGCATAATCTCTCTCAGTGGAAAATGCAGTGTCTAAGGATACAGACGAAACTTTCCCATTAGAATTTACTCAATTTAATTAATCCAAGAGAGCACAGTTTTCTCTCAAAAGTGACTGATAAAAATCAGTCAACTATAATCTGGATATTTGTAAATCTTTCACAATGATAAGTTTTATAGAATTTTAAATGAACGAATGGCGGATTATTTTTGCCTATAGTGAGAGTAGTTCCCCGATGTTTTAAGCATAACATTTCCTAAAATTCCAAAAAAGAGCGGGATAATTAATGGAAATGCAGTGATCAGTTTCAGTACTATTGTTAATACAAATGAATTCGTGCACAAAACACGAGCAAAAAATAACCTGGCAGCATATGAGCCAAATCTGGAATTACTGGTGTTTAACGAAATATAAAAATTAAATTCATCACTTGTACAGTGCCATACTTTTCACTCTTCCAAAATTTAGGTAAATCAAGTTTCTTCCTAAATGGACCACAGGTGATTGCAAGAATGAGCGCTTCTCCAACAGCATAACAAAGGATTTTGTTTCCATGGGGCGCAAGCAGCTTCCCTCATCCCCACTATGGCCTGTAGTTGTCTTTCCCAAAAATGGTATGAACCCCTGGGACTTCATCTTTCTGGCACTTCAGGTTGTGAGCATCGAATACTTGCAGCAGGGCAATCCATAGAGATATTACCAGAAGTCTCATCTCCTTCCTTCTGCCAATTACTAATCTGCATCAGCCAACGCAGAAAATTATGTCATTTAGTAGTAACTTATTCGAGTGCCAGAAAGTGATGAAACTGCTAAACTGGACATAGACACTGTTGCCAAGTATGGAATTATGTCTGTCGTCTAGGTCATGTGCACATAAACACACATATTTAAAAGAGTACGCTTACAGACAAAATGCTTTCACCCTTCCTTTCACTTCCCATCTGGCAATAGGAGAGGTATTAAGAGAAAGAAGAGCAGGTATCTTCTGCTTCAAGGATAAGAGCTTAATCTGGGTTTGAAGACTAGTTTCTCACTTACTTGGTAAGTTACTCAGTAGATATCCCTTCCATTTCCACACAGGTAAAACAGATATAAAGCTCCTATATCTTTGCAGTATTTTGAGGATTAAATGAGATAAAGCATGGAGAGGGCTCAGCTTGTACAGAAATCTCAATAAATGCCAGTCATTATTACTCTTTCCCATTTTCTCTATCTTAGAGCAAACATGGTTTTACCCATTTCTACAGCCTTTGTCACTTCTCCAACCCCAGTGAGTATCCCAGAAATAGTCTGATTCTCGGAATAAAAATAATAAACCTGCTTGAAGAGAAGTCTATAATTTTTATGTTTAAGGTAGATGAGCCTTAATCCTTTGTTTCCTGATCATTCATCAAAAATCACAAACCAGGATCATATCTTTTGTGCAGTTTCAGAACTGTATTTCAATAATTAAAAGAGGAATGGGCTGGGCTGTGTGTCCTTACTGGCTTTTCCTCTCATTGTGCATCCTTTATTCCTTGTATAATTGTAAGTGTACAATGTTTTCTTCACTCTTCACTTTAGCAATGTTATATGATCACCACCAGAACTGAATGATACAAGTAGGGAAGTTCTTACATCTCCATAAAGCAAATTCTATAATATTAAACTCAGTTGGACTAAACTAAAAGGGAATAATCACTTCAATCTCCCAAAGAATGCTTTCTATCTCCAATTTAAGTAATATTGTATTCAAATGTAGATGAAGTAGTTAATAGATGAGAAAACAGAGGTTCTTTCCAAATTTTATGTGGTCCATATTCACACAGGAAGAGGAAAAAAAAAATTAATGCAGCAGCTTTACTAGAAATGACTATTTCTGGAGCTCTGAACCCAACTATTGAAGTTCTTGTCGAAGGTCAAAAAAGGCATTATCAACTCTTCAAATATCAGATTTAAAAATGAATTGGGGAAACAAAACTGATTCATAGATGGAATTTGTAGGGTTTTCCTCTAATGCCCACTTTCCCCTCTTTGGGAAATTTCTGCTCTGTCATTGTGGGGTGTCCTGGTAGGACTATCAATCGACATGCTTTGTCCTCTCTTTGCTTTGACCTAAGAGGTGGGTTCTGAGCATGGTGGTGGGCATACAACAGTAGTTAACAAAATAAAATGTTTATCTAAGATCTATACCTTGAGCTAAGTGAGCCACAGTCTGTTGTTGTAACTTGCAACCAAAGATCCCCAAGCATTTTAAGGGGAGAACTGCCTGCATTAAGCTTTAAGGGAACATATTTTGAAGACTGGCAAACATATCCGACCCATTTCTCTTCAACTCAAAATGTAAATATTTAAATTGACATTTATGCTGAACAACTTCTATGTATAGAAAATTATAAAAATAGATCATTTTCAAGTTAGTTAAACACATACTGCATTTCAAAAAAATACTGGTGTGTAAAAATATTTCATTATCACTACTGATATGCTACATATATGTATATATATAGAATTATGATTGCATACCGTTTTTGAGAGATCTGAGGGGTTTTTTTTAGTGGTTGCATTTTTAACACACTGCTCAGAACTTATGCATGGAATAAATTATGAAAGTGTTTCAAAGAGGATGAGAAATTCACTGAAATAATTCAGAAATGTCCAACTTTCTTTATTATTGTGATTATTTTAAATTGACTTCATTATTGTGCACAAATTAAGAAGATTTTATAATATACGATTAGATATCCATTGGGCAGTTCGATCTTAAGTTTGAGACTTACAAAAAAAATCTATGATTATAAAAATGAAGCAAATTTTCTGATATTAAACTCAATTGGACTAAACTAAAAGGGAATAATCACTTCACTCTCACCTCCTAAAGAATGCTTTCTATTACCAATTTAAGTAATTTTGTATTCAAATGTAGATGAAGTAGTTAATATAATTCACAGATATATATAAATGTCACTCAGGAGATTAATGGATTAAAAAAAGCAGTAAGCACTATCGTGAATCACGTTCTGCTTACAATTACTCAAAAGGTAACTTTATAAAACTCAGTGTCAATCAACATATACAGAATATTTAATGAAGGATTCACAAAAGGTCTTATGTAATTCATGGCTTAAAATATACAGATTTTTTAAAATATGTGTACTGCTTGGGACTTTACATATCTTGAATGGAACAGGCCTAGGATACATTACTTTTTAATCATTCAGTACAACTGTGGGACTCATTATAAATAAATGACAGTATAAATAACATATAAGGTTATTCAAAATATCCCCCTATATTACTAAGCCAGTTTAAATTCATAACAGATGTTTAAAATTTTCTGGATTCTATAATGTATCTAATTCTACCAATAGGTAAGAAGAGCAAATGGCCCATTTTGGAGGGAAGAGAGAGCATTAACATTTCAGACTGAAAGGGTTCTATCTCCTGAGGAAAAGTCATTTAATAAATGTTACCCTAATGATGTAAAAGAGTGAACTCTTTATGGCCTAGGAGCCTGTGACATATCATAATACAATATAATCCTTTACTAAGAACTTGTAGATAAAAAAAAAACCATAAAAACAAATGGCATATCATTAATATGAAAAAATAAGCAAATAAGGTCATGGAATCAATTAGAAATGTGCAGACCAAGTCATCAGTCACACGATGCACATGTTATGGTTGGAAGCTAGAGTGTGTCTACTACGACCTTCTTATTTTAGAGGTGAGGATCCTTGAGCCTGAAGGCTATCAGTGCTGTTCATTATAATAGGCGTATATTTCTGTCCAGGAAAAATCTGTCCTGATATGTGCTATACAAAACCTACATTACAGATGGTAGGTTTGGCTGATATATCTCAAATATATATTAACATCTACAGCATAAAAGAATTATCCATATATAGATTATAATTTTTTTGGAAATTAAGTGTGAAGAATAATGTCTGATATTAGCATTCTTGGTTAGCATGGTAGCAGCACCTTACCCTAAATATCATTCAATAGATAATAAATCCTATCGCATAATATTTTGGAAAGATTGTCCCAAAATAGAAAGTCACATCACTGGAATCCAATTATTATAAAAAATGTCCCAAATACTTTGCACTTTAGCTGAATTCATCATTTGCTGCCCATGTCATGGAATTGACTTTCCTGTGTGATCTTTTCATTATAAAGTCCTCTTGGCTCTTAGGTAGGGCTCAAGGCGAATCAAACTCATCTGCTCTTTCCTAAGAAAATGACACTATTTTTCAGTAAATATGGTGCTGTACACTTAGTACATAAAGAGTGACAGGGATTTTTATCCCCCCCCTTCCCAAAGCATGATTTCATTAGGATAAACTGCTACTGTCATCTGAAAGATAAATGCCTGACAGTGAGTTGTGATTCAGTATTTCTTCACGGTTGTTAGGAACACAGGTCATATGCTGGTGACAAACAAATATTTCTCCTTACTGTGACGAGACCAACCTGAGAGACTGCCACTCCTCTCTGAGCTGTTGTGAGAGCTGGTGGTGCTGAAATCCTGTGACTGGTTGTGTGGCATTCTATTAGACAATCCCTCAGCCAATCGGTAGTCAGGGATGTAAAGTAAGGCTAAGGGTTAAAGGGCAGAGGTCATAGTGACATCATGTGATTAGTTCACAGCACAAGCCCATGCAGAACATGCAGTTAGCAACTCAGAAGCAGATGTCGTGGGACAGTGGAGGAATGTTCCGTCTCTCCTGCCTAATGGAAGTTGAGATGGATTACTGACCACTCTACTGAGAAAGAGCTGAAAGAATGGAACCAATTGGTGTTGGTGTGTGGTCGCAGTGACGGTGGCCGTGGCGGTGGGAGGGGTTGTGCAGGGTACTGAATACATGCCGAGAATATTTGTTTCGTTTAGGTAGTGAACCTGGTAATGAGTCACTAAGCTGAACAACAAATACTAATTTCTATCCCATGCACAAATGATATGAAAAGGACTCCTCGGGGTGTAAGACCCTGACTCACCATTGTTACCTTTGTTCTGATCAGGTAGAGAATATCCAAATCCCATCAGGTCTGTTTTTTGCTGAATGGAGCTTTTCCACTGCGGATCAGGCAGATCGACAGCCAATTCGTGAATGCTATTGGAATGCAAGATCTGTGTGGTGGCATATGGGGTGGCCTGTGTTATTTGGCTGGAACTGTTGTAAGCGGCTTTGGTCGTGAAGTCAATGCTGCTATAAATAGCTCCATCTGAGAGCATTGTTGCTGTTTTATCCCCTTGGCCTGGAACTGGTGGCAGCACATCTGTGGTGAACAATAGGGAGATGAAACAATTTAATGATGCGCAGGAAGCCCCAAACTATCAGGACTGGAGGTGACAAATAAACGTGTCATGCCGCACGTTTGCATTTCCGCTGAGCTGGGCTTTATGAATCAATGAAGGGGAGATGATGTACAACCACGGTCAAGCTATCAGCCTCGGTGACAGGCAGGCCCACCACTCGTCCTTCACGTCTCACTGCTCTAACATGTCCCTTCCCCCATTTTCTTCAACCACGAATGAGAGGTTTGGGATATTTCACTCCTGAAAAATGCTTTCGGTTGTGCATCCCGCTTTCAGGACCAATGAAACTGTTAGCTCCTTACAGAAGAAATGATAAAAGTCAGTCTGCAAATGATGGCTTGAAAACATCTTTTTCCACTTTACCCCAAAAGATAGAGGGCAGAGCTGCTGAATAGATGCAAAATTTTCCAAAATTAGACTATACAAGCCAACTAGGAGATAACATTTTTCTGAAGTTCCAGCTTGCTGTTTCTCTGATTTGATTTCACAGTTCCAGCATGGAGTGGAGCGGATGGCAGGAATTTTTTTTTTCTTGGGTAACAAAAGATAATTTTCATGAATAAGTCATTTTCACAATACAGAAGGATTTAACTATAGAAAAAGCAATCTGAGTGATCAGTGGGTTTAATTTATGCTACTAACTCTTAGAAGTGGAGAATTATAGTTTCAAGTTATAATACAGCAAGAGTAAAATTAAACCTTAGTAACAACACTGAATATCAATCAGTCCATTTATCTTTTGGTGTGCTGAATTATCTTTACATGATGCTTTATAATTCAGAACTGCCAACTCCCTCCCGAGCTCTTATTTTTTTTCTTTTTTTAGAAGAAAGATATTAGAATTAAAACAAAACAAAACAAAACAATACTGGGGTGCCTGGGTGCCTTGGCTGGTTAAGTGTCCGACTCGTGATTTCAGCTCAGGTTATGATCTTGAGGCCGTGAGATTAAGACCCATGTCTGACTCCACACTCAATGGGGAGTCTCCTTGAGAGTCTCTTTCCCTCTCCCTCTGCTTCCCTCCCTACCCCTGTTCACACTTGCTCTCTCTCTCTAAAATAAACAAAATCTTTAAAAACCAGAACAACACTAAATGACATATTTTTAAACATGCACAGTTAAAAGTGAATCTAATTATAGTATATATTCCTTAACAATCTATGTTCTGAAAGCCACACTTCATAGGACTTGAGATCATCAATGATTTCTTCATTATAGGAAATTTTCAACTAGTTAAAGCACTGTAATATTAAGTAACAAATCAAATTACTTGGTTCCCAAAACCGATTTATCATGACAAGAAAAAAGCAGAAAGTGAAAGTGAAACTTAGTCAAAATACTCTCAGACTTTTAGGTTTGATGATACCCAATAGTACTTGAGATAAAGATTCTTATAAAAATATTAATTTTGCTTTTTACAAAAGCTAAAAAAATGTCTGCTTTAGCAACAGCAACAAGACATTTATTATCCACTTTGCACACTGCATAATTTAGATCTTTCTGAAGTCTGGAATTCCAACTCGCTTTGTAAGTAAGTGGATACATACTTCATTGAAGTAAATATTTTAAATGTATATCAGTGAAATTGTTAAAGATATTCAAATATATTTTACAAGCTTGTACAAGCAAGTACAATTATTTTTTCATTTCAGAATCCCATAACTACTTTTTTGGCCTTTTTAAAAAGCTTTTACCTATAAACTAATTAGGACATTTGATAATGAAAAGGTATACTTCATCCTTAAATGTCAATATCGTTTTCATTCTCAAAAACATTTAATATTTAGTAATATATCAAAATTATGAAAATAGATCCTTCACTCTGGGGAGATTTTCAGAGTTTTGTTTCTGCCGCATCCACCATCTTTCACTGATAATATTAACCGGATAGACATGTTTCTCCAGCACGGGCCCCAACTTCCCAACACCTTGAACTTGAGGCCTTCTAAAACTTTTGATTTAGATTGGGAGCCACTCTATCTGCAAGCTTTTGAAATGGTTGCGTGTTCAAATGTTTAAAACTGGAAAAAAGTAGTCCGAGGATCTAATCCTACAGAATGTTATCCGGCCACAACTAAAGCTCCAGTGCTAGAAATAGAATCTCTCTCTCTCCCTGCTGGATGAAATTAGCCAGCCTTCAAGTCTAAGTGCTTCTCTATTGACTTGCGGGCTGCATATTTCCTTCAACTATTATTGGGTCACTCCTACATTTTTGGAAAATAAATTGAATTATATCCAAATGTTGAAATATTGGAAGATTATACGTGAATATCTGGATGTGGGGGATCATCCTATAATATCAGATGGTTTGGAAGTCTGGCCCAGCCTTCCTCCGACAGGCTAGACCTGAATAGGTGCTGCTATCTTTAGGTAGGACCTTCCAGTTTCCACTTCTCACTGTCCACACCTACCTTTCCTTAGTGCTTTGGGCTGACTGGCACTTGTTAATATTTGAGTTTGAAACCTCTGAAGTATAGAAACCCTCCCTCCAGGTGGACCTACTCATGATTCATTTTGCAGGTTTCAGCACCTTAGTGATCCATGCACTTATTTCTTTTTGCCTGATATACTTGAATGAATGATTGTCTCCTGTATCATATCATAAGATACTTAAGAACAGGAACATACATCTGGATTTCCATAATTCCTCACCTAGTGTTTTGCAGAGGGTAAGCACTCGCTGAATGATTAAATGAATCTTTTATAGTTTGTATGGACAAAAGGCAGACTTATGCAATAATTAGTAACTTTATTATTCAAAATACTATTTTCATTACATTTAAACATGTGTTAGTATTCCATTCTTGAAAGGGAAATGTCAGTATCCACAATAATTCTTTAAGTGACCATAGTTATGCAATCATACATGTGAATTCCACCTAGAGGACTGCAGACAGTGTAGATAAAGGAACTGAGGCTTTAAAATGTGTTTGACCTGCCTTCTACACCTAGATCTCAAGTTATTCATCTCGATAAACCTTAGTTTCTTGGCCTTTAAAATGTAAATATGATTATTATTTATGTCACACATTTATTATGCCAATGAAATGAAACAAAATGTACAAAAAAGCCTACCTATTTCTGGTGCATAGTGAATGCTTATAATGCCTATCACAAAAGAAATACAGTAAATCTTGCAAAAACTTTGTCTTGGCCTTGATGTTCGCCTGTGAAATATTTCATATCATGAAAATGCGGTGGATATAGAAGAAAAACCTTGAAAATCTACAAACGTACCCTTTGGCTAAATTAGACAGAGACATTTTAGATGTTAGTGTAGCCTGATAGAAACTGAAAAAAAACCAAAAACAAAACAAAACACTTTCTCCATCTCTAGGCACTCATTTCTTGATGTAAAGAGAATGGTGCACTAATCAAATACAAATACAATGAGTAAAAGAGGGATCTAATCCTTGATTAATAAAAGCCTTCAGAACAGAATTTCTTTTGACGAAATCATTCTGGGTAGGGTAGAGAGGAGTGTTCTGCTCTCCTGGCGAGGAGATGCTCATGTTCAGAACGTACCCACGGAAAAGAAATAGCCTGTAATTGAAGGGCTCAGAGTTTGGCCACTAGGGAAGGCAGCCACTTGCAGAGGTTCTGGACAAATAAGAATCCTAAACGGTGTGATTACAGAGGGCAAGCAAAAAGCTGAGGAGTCCTACAATGTATTTTTGTTTTCTCATTTACTATATTGATGCCTGCTGGCCACTACTTGTATGCCAAGCTTTGTGCTAAACCTGAATATGTAATCATCCATTTAATCCTCATCACGTACCTGTGGCGGGGGAATGGTTATTTTCTGTATTTCATTTGGGGATTGGGAGAGAGCTCCCTTCCTTCAACTTGGTATTGACAGAATGCAGACTTAAGCAATAACTAGTCGCTTTATTATTTGAAATACTATTTTAATTATGTCCAAACATTCATTGGTATTCTATCCAGAAAGAGAAAATGCCAGTATCCATGATTATTCTTCTAAGTCAGTATATTTATACACTCATGCCTGTGAAATCCACCACTGAGGCTTATAATAGGTTAGCCTAGCCCTGGGTCTCCTCCATTATTAATTCCACCCAGAGCCGTAGAAACCCTCTAGCAGATTCATCCTCACTTTCGTGGATCATAACACTACTCTCCTAATTAATCATCCCATTCTCTACTCGAACTCCATTCCCCACCTGGCAGTAGTCTGGATGACTTAACTCTGTACTTAGATCCCAGTGTTCTCCTCTTACAAATCCATTGATGCCTTCTGACTACCCTTTGGACAAAGTTTAAAGTCTGCGTGGCTTAGAAGGCCCTCTATTATCTGTCCCTCTGTATTTTTTTTTTTTTTTTACCACCTCTGCTGCCTTGTACTTTATACTTATCAGGAAATTCATTCATTTCTCAAATAGGTCAATGTCTCTCTTCTTTCTAGACCTTAAAATACGGACATTTCTTCACACACTTTCCCCACAATTCTGACTAATCTCTACCTCTCCTTCAAATGTCAACTTAAATAACACTCCATTCATAGAACTTTCTTATTCCCAATAGGCAGCTTTTTCATGTTGGGTACCGGCAAAGCAGCTCCAATCCATTTACTGTTTGCACAAGTTTCTGCCAATGGAAAACTCACATATTTCTGCCAAATTTAAACACTGGGACCACAGACTTCTCCAGCCCCATCTTTCTCTCAACCCATCATTCTCCTATCGAATGGATGAAAAGGTGGCAGTGGGGAGGCTGTAATTATTTATAGTAGGTCAAATCCTGTTTCTACGGAGAGAACCCTAGCATCAGATTTTGAAGACCTTATCATATCAGCAACTTAGCATCTTTTTGTTTTTCACTTGGGGTACCAGTTGTCAACGGAAGAACTACATTTAAGTTCTCCTTCAACATGTTGTCATATTTATGTAAGGGTCTACTCTCTATAACATACATGATTATCCTATGAGGATAAGGACCATCTCTCTTTATACTGATATTTTATTTTTACTGTCTGCCATAATGCCAGGTACATAGGACATACTTAATAAATATATGCTGAATGACATGTAGAGAACAGAAATGACTAGTCCAAAATCATAAGTGCTACTTAACAGCATAGTTTCTGATTTTACCACTCTTGCTCTAATAGTCCTAAACCTAAAATGTATTACGAATATTTGTCATTTTGGGTAGTAATGACTTCCTTAAAGCTTAGTCTTACTCAAGGTAATATAGACACACTGGTCTTATATAAAAATATTTAGTGAATATACAGCACCGTTAGTATATGCGCTTTAGTAATTTTAATTGTGGAAGAAAATACTCCATAGTATGTATTTTTTAAAACACTGAAGAAAGCCAAGAAAACAAATAATGAAGTTTTGAATAGCACAACTTACCTCCACGTCCAAAATTCGCAATCTCATTTGGGCCACTGTTGCTGTTGTTTACTGGTAAGCTCGTGGCTGGCCATGAATCAGCAAGCCATGGATAACTGGGATCCCCAGCATTTAGAAGACCAGGACGGCTGAAACAGAAATTAAAAGGAAATCAACCCATGGAGCTCAATGAGAGATTTGGACACCTGTCTCCTGCACTAAAATAGATGAAAGAATTTGAGAAGATTTTAATTTACTTCAAATTAAAACGTGTAGGTTCTCAAGAATTAAGGAACTTCCACGGTTCATTAAGACTATATACAGCCTCTCATTGGAAGCAGAAGCATCCTGCCTGGGATTCTGCTGACATCCAAATGCATTCAGTTGTCTGCCCTGAAACTGGTGGGAATTGTTAACAGCAGGATCCTGAAACAAGGTTTGATGATAAATTGACACCTCAAGGGAACAATTGCTCAGAGTGACTGCTCAGTATCAGCCCTTTCCAGGACTTTGGGCTCTTGCTTCCTCGATTCCTACAGCCCCCGTATTTATCTGTCCCCTGTAGGCTGTAACCCCTGTTATGAGCCCTTATGCTGGATTTAGAGGCAAAGAACTTGAGGGAAATTAATAAACAATATTTACATTGTTCCATCAATAGCACATTTCCAAATTCTCTAAATTGCAAGATACTAGGGGCATAATAAAGATTTTCAAGGTAATTAAAGATTCACTGTGATCTGATCCAGCATGTGAGTATATAATCTATGAGAAAAACTTGCCTCACATCATATTGAATAAATAATTTCCATTTTTGATATAAAAGATGGGAATCCAATTCCTTTCCAGATTATTAGCATATTTACAAAGAAATAGCAACATCTATAATCATTGCACTTTATTTTTGATAGACCGTTTCTATGAAATCCCTAAGAGAAACATGTGTTTCTATGGAAACTGCAATAAGAAGATCCAACTGCTTACTTGCTACATGCACTAACTCTCATTAGACCTAATCTCTTTTTGCTAAAATATTGATTAAATGGGAGATTGGAAGTTATTACCAGAGCCTAATTACAATCTCCATATTGGCAAAGGGGAAATAGATGAGGATATATGGGTTTGTTATCAGCTTTTATCAATTTCAATTGAGTATCCAAAGTTGTGGAATCCAGTCCTATCAATCTACAGCCTATTCATCATCCATGAATCATTTACTTTGTGATCGATTATGTGTAATTGTTCACTCACAGCAATTTAGTGAGAGCCAATAAGGAGTCTTAAACAACAGCAACTTCATTTGCTAATGTCTAATTAATGCAATAAACATTCTGCTAACAAATGAACACATTCCTTGTGATATTTACTACTAATTTCTTCAGGGGCATCTGGGAGATACGAAACATCTGGACTTGATTCCTCTAAAGTGCACAACAGATAGATCATTAAACCTTGTGGTAAGCTATTTAATTCCTCCTAGAATTCTCAGACTTATAAGTGATCGTTTATTACAATAATAGCCTCTTACTGTAGTTTCCCCAGTCCTGATTAAAAATAATAATAAAAAAGAATCTCCTTAGCATACCTCCCATTGCTCATTAGTCCTCCATCTCCTCTTTGAAATGTAACTGTTAAAAAAAAGAAAGACACACACACACAAGTAGTCAATATTAATTACGATTAATACCAACTACATATTGGCCCTTAGTTTAGAGCTGAGGCCTCTGGGAATTTTAACAAAATATAATTAACATAATTGCACAGAGAATAAGAAGCAGTGGTTTGGCCCAGGGCAAAGCCATCATTTGCTCCAACTTTAATAAGACATTTAAAAATACTTTAAGCCAAATGTATGGTTAAGTCAAAAGGGCAATTTGTATTTGGATATTGAAAACTGTTAAAATTGGTATATATAGTGTCATTGGAAGATCAACAGGCATTAATGGGGGATTATCAAATCATGACTTTTAATCTTAATATGTGGGTGTCCTAATCAGAAGGCACAACATAAAATGCACATAACAGAAATTGAAACAGAAGAGTTCAAACAGGTAATAACATCCTGCCAGTGAAAAAGAGAAACAGGTACTGATTGATGACATATTCCTCATCATCACAGATTCTTTTAGGGACACCATTAATCACTATGAGTTGAACAACTACAATTACAATAGACATAAACTATAATTAATAGAGAATAATGTGTTGAGTGCTTTGTTTTACCATCCAACCTTCACAAAAAATGAAATTTTCAAATACCTGATACTGAACACAGTCAAACTGTATGTAATCATTGCAGAAACTTAAGGCCTTTATAAAACTCTGAAACTTATTAGTCACATCAACAATCATTCCATAGAGCTCTACCTGGAGAAGCCCTCTCTTTGGACACTAAATTCCATTCCGCAAAGCTATCGACATAAAAACAGTATGAATAGTTTCACATTAGCATGGATCAAATTTTGCCACTTGAGGTAACTAGAAGATCATGAAAAAATTGTTGGTGTTTAGAAGTTCATGGACTGCAAAACTTCAATTCTGACTAAAATGAATATAGATCTCTAACCAATTCCTGGGGATGAAGGAAAAAACTGCTGGTTACCAGAGGGGAAGAGAGTGGGGGGGAAGGGTAAAATAGGTCATGGGGATTAAGGAGTGCACTTGGTGTGATGAGCCCTGGGCGTTGTGTAGAAGTGTTGAACCGCTATATTGTACACCTGAAACTAATATTACACTGTATGTTAACTAACTGGAATTTACATAAAAACTTGGAACATAAAAAAAAACTAAAAACAAAAACTTAAGAAAAAAAACATTGCACAGATATGAATCCAACATGTCCTATCTTTGAAAAATACTGAATATATTTACCTAATGAGTAAAAAATAGAGAAAAAAATAAAAGAACGTTTTATGAATTGATTCATATTTTAAATAGAGGATAAACTGTTAAAGTATACATATAATAAATACTTTTTAATTTGAATAATCTCTCCATAATTCATCTATTCCTCAAATTTTTGCTATGAAATATGATTGCTCTTTAAATTTTGTAAATTTCCAAATGCAGTTCCCCAGTCCCTTCCCGAAGGTCACTTAATGGGATATCTCTCACGACATCATAATTGGGTGATATGATCATGATTCCCAGGGTCTATCAGGAGGTAGTGCTTTGAGGAACATCTGGCTGGCACCTGAAATATACTGCCTTCTCAATTTTTCAGGTACCATCTCAAATTCATTATAAAACAATCCTGACATATCCTTCGTATCTGCCCAGGACTGGCTATGAACAGTTCCTAGAGAAGATGAAAGAACACTGATCGCTACTCTCCTTCCTGACAAGCTTGCCTAAGTGACGGGAATCAAGAATCAGCAGTGGTCCATACCACATCGGGTCCCATTAATAACTGCTTTTAACAACAACAAAAGAAGAATTAATCTGAAACAATTAATGAAAAAAATTGAGCACTGGAGCTATTAAATAAAGTCCTGATTAGGGAAAAAGAATATGCACACAAAATGTGAAAACAGTACAGCTAATTAGCTTTCCATCTGATGTGACTTTCTAGTTATGTGGTTTTTTAATGGACTATCAAGTGATTGTTTTACTCTACTAAAAGAGAGTTAAGATAATGTTGTGAATATCATTGTGAATATGCAAATAAGGAGGCACTGATGAGCTATACCTCCAAATGTGCTATTTAGAAGATATGTGGAAAGAAGCGAAGTATTTTTCCTAATTTAGATGCTCTTTTGTCCCCACCCGAACTTTCCATTACTGCTAAAGCAGTAAGTGATATCAGAGAAAAGGAGGACAACTGAAGCAGAGGCACGAAAATTAAGTTGCACTTAACTTTTACATACTAACCAATGGCAAATTCTTCATAAACTGTAAATTTTAGGGGCACCTGGGTGGTTCAGTTGGTTAAGCATATGACTCTTGGTTTTGGCTCAGGTCATGATCTCAGGGTCATGAGATCAAGCGCTGCATCAGACTCCACGCTCAGTGCAGAGTCTGCTTCAGATTCTCTCTCCCTCTCCCTCTGTTTCTCCTGCTTGTTCTGTCTCCTCTCTCTCTCTCTCTCTCTCTCTCTCTCTCTGGGGATTCATAGTGCCTGGATAGATAAGTTTTAAGTGAAATATGGCTCCTGAGATGAGACCAATTAAAAAGCAAAGGAGGAGTGCCTGGAATGCCGGGTCTCCTTTGAAGTTTCTGAGCTGAAAACAACCAGATCCTTATTGCGGCTCAATGCTCTCACCTAGGGAGTAAATGTTTAACTTAGATGAAAAACACTCTCACCTTATGGTCACATATTCATCATACCCTTAGCCTGCACGCACGTCACTAACACTGCTTGCTTCACTTTGGAATTATTATTTTCTTTCTCTACTAACCAGTACCAACTTAGGGACACTGCTTCACATAATTGCTATTTACTCAATTTTAGAAAGAACACCGCTTGCTTCAATCATGCATTGCCCCATATGTCTATGTCTTGATTATTAAAGCCTAACATTCCGCGTGCTTCAATCATGCATTGCCCCATATATATATGTCTTGATTATTAAAGCCTAACATTCCTTTCTATTTTTCCGCTCTTACTTGATGTATTGATAAGACCTGCAATTAAAGAGGAGACTGAGTTTGGCTCGGGACCTTTCATCACTAGAGCGCCTGGTCCCCTTGCCCTCTCCTTTCTCCTATTTAGGTGTCTGGAGTAATCTTTTCATTTGCCGCCTCACGGTTTGCTGGCCAAACCCAGCACTGTCCCTAAAATAAGTAAATAAATCTTTTTTTTAAAATGTAAAATTTAAACTTAGAAGGCAACACTCAAAATATTATCAAACAGATAGCATCCAAATGGCCATTAAGCACCTGAAAGGATGCTCCACATCACTAATTAGGGAAATAAAAATCAAAAGTACATTAGATGCTACCTTGCACCCATTTGGATGGCTACTATGCAAGACACAATAAATAACAAGTGCTGGCAAGGATGTGGAGAAATGGGAACGCTGGTTCACTATTGGTGGGACATAAAATGGTACAGTCATAGTGGAAAACAGTTAACAGTATGGTGGTTCTTCAAAAATTAAAAATATAAAATTACCATATGATCCAGCAATTCCACTTCTGGTATATACACAAACGCACTGAAAGGTCTCAAAGAATTAAAGTAGCATTATTCACAATAGCTAAAACCTGGAAGCAATCCAAATGTCCGTAAATGGATGAATGGATAAGAAAAAATGTTGTATACACATACAATTCAGCTACATGAAAGAAGAGAATTCTGACATATGCTAAACTTGAGGACATCATGCTAAGTGATATGTCAGTCACAAAAGGCCAGTACTGTGTGATTCCACTAATACGAGGTAGATGGAGCAGTCAAAATCATAGAGACAGAAAGTAGAATGGTGGTTTCCAGGGGCTGGAGAAGGGGGGAGATGGGCGCTATTGTTTACAGGGTATAAAATTTCAATTTAGAAGATGAAAAGAGTCCTGGAGATGGATGGTGGTGATGATAGCACAACATTATGAATGTATTTAATGACACCAATCTGTACACTTAGAAATAGTCAAGATAGTACATATTATGTTATGTGTATTTTAACACAATAGAAAACTGGGAAAAAATATCATCAGGATTAATTTTCAGATGTGTCAGAGTATGGACACTATGCTAAGGTTCATATTTACCAATTAAGAATTAAATGTTGTGAGTAAAATAGGACATACCCAGTTCTATTTGTGTTCCAATCATCATTAAAATGTTTTCAAATCTTTCTAGACTGCTTTTGACAAAATATTCCATAAAGACACTTATCTTTGCACCAACTATACAAAGGCAAAAATGAATAGTACATTATGTAAATACATGACCAACATAAAATGGTCCATAGACAGAATTTGGTATACATGAAAATTCTCCATTTTGTATGCTTCCATGACAAAAGAAAACCAAAAACCAAACTAATCAAACAAAAAACAACTCTTATCATAATAAGATTGATTTGTTGTCTTTGTAAAACAAGGGGAAAAAAAGATGAATATTCAAGTTTCCCTTTTACCCCACACTCCAAACTTTTAGATCTGTTCCATTTTGAAAAGCAGACCAAAAGTAACTGGGTCGTATTAGACCGTGAAATGAAAAGTAGACTAGGGATAAGGACAAGCAATTAGAATGAGTAAAATAGAAGTCATACATGGTGTTTTGATTAGCATTTTCCCTCCCTCCCACCCTTCCTTCTTTCCTTCCTTCCTTTCTTCCTTCCTTCCTTCCTTCCTTCCTTCCTTCCT